TAGGATAAAGATTATTATTGTTAAGTGCCCTGAAGTCAGTTCCAACTCAACAGTTACCCCATATAGAGTTTCCAAGAAGTGGCTGATGGATTTGAACCAAAGATTTATCCTACAAAGTCACACCAGGACCCCAGAGCAAGTACAGTAGATTAGATTATATAAAGGACATTGCAGGGCCTTTGGGAGGTAATTAGTATAGTGATTAGTTGTTTAAACCAGTGACTAGGAAACTGTGTGTGAGGTGGGGTTTAGACTGCACCAGGTGAGAAGAGGGGGTGACTGTCTATAAAATCCTTGTGTAGTTTTTCAGCAAAAAATTATTATTTTTTATAAAAATACCCCTGTAGTTAGTTATTACAACAAAAACATCACCCGGAGTGATACCACTGGTTTCCACATAGCTCCACATCAAATACCACATCATGTTTATCTTCTGAGAAGCATCTATCTAACATGTTGGCTATAAATGACCCCTTGGACAATTGTCACTTAGGATTTCTAGACAAGAGACATTGTTTCTTAGTAAAATGGGGGAGGAAACAGTCTTTTGCCCCCCAGTCACAAGTATACCTCACTTAGACTGTACTGTGTTAGTTCTCCCTCACCGCTGTGGTTGCAACTCTGTACTTTTCTGACTTCGTCTGTCAGGAAGGAGACAGGAAATTCTAGTCACCCTCACAGCAGCTGGGCCATTCCTCCTATCCTCCTCCAATGACGTTGGTTGGCTTTGGTGACAGGAGGTCAGGAACTGAGCCACAGCGAAGGTCAGGAAGATAGGTCACTGTTTATGCCGTTGCTGGGCTGGGGATCCTGCTGAGGCAATTTGCTTTCTTCCTTTCTATACTGTTTCTCTTTCCGTTCCTCTTTTTATAATACAGAGCCAAAGCATCCTGTTTTCAAAACATCTGACTGTTTTGCCACTGAGGAACTTAGGTTCTGATGCATTTCACTGAAGTATAATATCCTCCAGATTCAGGAGTTGATAAAAGTTAAAATTCAAAAGTTAATGAAGATGTCCAAGAACACAATTTGACATTAAATTTTAAGCAAAACAGCTCTAGCAGGTCTAACTCCACTAGGGCTACAGACAGAAGGCTCACTGGACATGCTTTTCATTTTGAAAAACAATGCCATCACCTCCTAATATTCCTGCCAAATTCATTTCATCTTGCTATAATTCTTAGGGGAAAGTAATCTATGATATTAACCACCTGACTGAATCCTTCTCTTATATTCATTCTAGAGTTCCAACTGGCCTGTGGCCAACATTAAGGGATTTGGGAAACTTGGACCACAGAACCATCTCCTAGCTATCACCCTGGGCTCTGAAGTACAGTGGGGAAAGTTAGTTACAATATTTGAGCCACTCTGTTCTCTTGAAAATACAAAAGAGTTAATAACAAGCAAAACAAAAAACACAACCCTACCCAGATGAAGTAACCATGAAAAACTGCTAGCTCTTTTTCTAGATGCAGTTAACTCTCTGCTATATGCCTGTAGATTAGCACATCTGTGTTTCCCAAATACCTCCAAGCATAACGAAAAGTCTCCTATCACTGACTTTTGCACAAAATTCAGTAGGTACTTAGCAGACATAAAACCAGGAGCACATATTCCTCGCAAAACTGTTGTGGACATGTTTCAATAAGTTATCATTGAATTTATTATATAGAAGGTACCATATTGCGGGCTTTCGCTTCATTCATTACCTCCTTTAAGCTTTACAACAACCTTTGAAGTAGGTTCCATTTTTCACTTTTATCCCTGTTTTCCTGGTGAGAAAGTTGGGTCCCAGAGAGGTTAAGTAAATCGGCCAAGGCCAAATAGCTAAAACAGGATTCCTGGTGTGGTGCAGTAGGATCAGCACTGAACTGTGAACCATAGGTCAGCAGTTCAAATCCACCAGCTGCTCCTTGGCAACCCTACACAGGGTGGCTGTCAGTCACAAAAGACATGATAGCACTTAACAACAACAAAAGTGTTAATAAATGGGAGAATCAGGACTTGAACCATAACTTTCTGATCCCAAAGTTAAGTACTGCACTAACATTATAAAACATCTTTACACTCACTCCCTGGCCTGTGACTTAGATATTTCTCTCAATAAGACATAATCAAATAAGATTATTCTGTAGTGGTGATGATGACAATCATAATAATGTTTTTAAACAGCAAATTTAGTTAGAAAGCTCACATCATTTCAACAATACTTAAATTTGAACATGGAATTTTATTTGTATCACAGATAATTCAGTTTCCCTAAAAGCTAGTATAGATCAGTTTCTTTTTTGGTGCCACAAAAATCAAGTTATACAAGCTTTACCTGAAATAATTATTGGAATGACCAAGACTTTAAAAAAATAAAGAGAAATGTAGCAAAGTGAAAGGGTTCTTTTGAAAAACTGAAGTTATTCCTTACTTTTTTGCCCTACTACCTTTCCTGGTGTGGTGCTGTGGGCTAATGCATCAGATTGCAAAGTCATTTGAACTGCAAGGTCAGCAGTTCAAGCTCATCAGCCACTCCTTGGAAACCCAACACAGGGGCGCTATGGGTCAGAACCGACTCAATGGCACTTAACAACAACAACCTTTCCACTGTACGTACATCTAGAAACTAGGTGAAGTAACATGCCTTGTACCAGAGAGAAGTGAGTCCGCATTAAGGTTTAGCCCTTTCTTTAGGGTTAACTCTATTCAACTTTCATTGCTTCCTGCATACCATACCATAAAGAAGAAACGGAAACCTGAAGTGCTTGGAATTCTCACCATCATCACCTACATCTTCTCTGACCTCAGACTGAATATGAAATTATTTTTAATAAAATTGTAAGACAAATAAAAACTAATTTTAGTACTCCAATCACAAACTTGGTTAGATTGCTACTCAAACTGAAAAATCATAGCAAAATGCAGTTTCTCAGTGAGTTTTCCTTTTCACTTCTAGGAGTGAATTGTCTACTTTACTCCAATGACTTCAGACAAGAGTTCACCTTGTCCCCATTGAGAAACCTGATGAAAAATTACCTCCAAATATTGGATCTACATACATCTTGCCTGAGCATCGGTGTTCACAAAATGCAGAGAACAGAGTACCTGCTAATATTCCAAAGTGGGCTGAAGCATGTGTAAAAGGTCCCTCTACATAGAGTTCAATGCGTTTTGGAGAAGTTGCATAGCTCAACTAAAGAACATGTGGAAAGCAGCTGGTTGAGTTTTATAACAGCCTGGAAAATCCCTGACTTTAGAGCTTCAGGGGAAAAAAAGTAGTTAAATCTCAAATTTTTCATTCTTTTATTTCAACTCTAACTCTGAACTAAAATTTCAGAACAGGATTTATTTATGCCCTTTTAAGTAATAAACAAAAAACAATGAATTCCCAAGTGAGGGGAGCCCTCCTCTCTTCCAGACTCCTAAGGAATCATTGTTTCCTCTGCTCAGGTTCTTTGAGCAGGAGCCAAAACGCCTTGATGATGGAAGGTTTAACCCTATGAAAGAGGGAGGGGGACACATTCACTAGTGAACCTTTCTTTGGCTTGAAAGGTCATATTGGCAAGTGTGGAGCAAAATTGCTTCCCAGGCCCAGAAACATAAGACAACACTGAAGACTAGACTGATAGGGACTCTGAAAACAAGCATTTCCAAGGTTAGGGTAGTAGTTGTTGTTGTTGTTAGGTGCAATGGAGTCAGTACAGACTCATAGAGACCCTATGCACAACAGAATGAAACACTGCCTAAAGCTATATATATATATATATATCTGGTAGCGTTGTGGTTACGAATCGGGCTGCTAACCTCAGGGCCAGCAGTTCGAAACTACCAGCTGTTCCGCGGGAGAAAGATGAGGCGTTCTGCTCCCGTAAAGATTTACAGCCTCGGAAACCCTGTATAGGGTCGCTATGAGTCGGAATACACTCCACGGCACATAACAACAACAAATATATATCTATACACACACACAAAGAGGCTTCAAGAAGTTTATGGAAAAATGGAATAGAAAGATACTGAAATTTTCCTGTGAACTTTTTGAAGCTCCTGTGTGTGTGTGTGTGTGTGTGTGTGTGTGTGGTAGTTAAGTGCTGTCTAATTACTTCCAACTCATAGTGGCCCTATATAGGGTTTCCAAGTAGCTGCTGATGGGCTTGAACCACTGACCTTGTGGTTAGCAGTCCAGTGCTTATCCTATAGCAGCATACAATTCACATACACATAAAGTTTAAAATTCGCCAAGGAAAAAATACAAACAAACAAGGACTCTCACTACATAAATTAGCACTCTAAGTCTGGGTGTTAATTAAACAAATGATATAATGATAGATAATTAAAGTTCTTCAACTGTAAGTTTTGTCTGGGGATTGTAAATAAAGTCATTTAGTTGTAGTATGGGCAGAACTCAGTTTCAAATATTCCACTTTGAAAATTACCAATCTTTAAAAGAATAATTTTCTGTTTGGGACAAGATATTATTGTTAGTTTTTATGCTAGATCATAAAAGATATGATAGAAAATCCCAGAACATCCTTCTCGAAGGAATGTGTCAAATCTTCAGAGCCATTCTGTCCCATGGATAGACAGAAGTCAAATTATATTTTCTGGTTAAAATTATCTGTGCTACACCAGATTGCTATAGAACATATTATAAATTTTATACTATCAATTCATTCATAATTTAGCTTCCTGGTCATTTTTTTAAAAGGCATTTTTCTTTTTTGCAATGACTTGCAAACTTTATAGACACTTTCACCTTAAACATACTCCAAACTACATGACACCGTTTGAAAAGAAGATTGGTTTCTGTAAATGAACATTTAAAGTTCTGATGTAGCAGTAAGATACAGGTAAGCACAGTGTGGCACTTTGCAACAGATTATTCTGAGATAAATCAGCAAATCAATTCCTTAATAAGTCACAGCCCTTCTTGTAGCTCACTGCAGGAGGAGGCGCGGGGAGCTGGGAGCTCCCTAAACTGTCCCACTTTAATAAATAAAACGGTCCTCTCTTACCTTGTTAGAAGCCATCTCACTGACAGAGCGGTAGGTCTGTATGGTTTCTAGCTGGTCTAGACACCAGTCTAATTCCTCCAGCGTTTCCATTGCTAATTTTTGATAAGATTCTTCTGCAAACAAACACACAGACATGTAGTTAGGCTGTAGCGGGTGCAGGCTGTCCATAACCGAGTCACTGCTGCCTCCGCGGATCCCGGCGCTACTGAAGGTGCCACTGAGCTCCTTCATTATTTGCGCCGCCGCCGACTCCTTCCTTCCAGCTCTCTCCACCAGAACAAATCACCGTGGTGCTCTGCCTGAGCGGGCTGGTGCCAAGTTTTCACCCCTCCTGCCTGCGTGAGGTGTCAGTGATCTACCAAGAAACTTCCTCTGAGGAAGAAGGCGGGGAACCATCTCTTATAAGCTCATCTGCATAAATGTGCCCTAAAACTAAAAGAAGCAGCGAGGAGTTTTCTCAGGCTCTCTCTGCCTTAGTCATCCTGAGGTTCTTTGGGGGTACGTGATGTCATTTCTGAGTGTTTGCTGTCTCCCTGAGAAGTGAGCAAAGAGTTTTTTGTTTGTTTTTTCCTTTTCATTTTTCATTTCTTGTAAAGAAACATAGGGTATAATTCGGGAATAAAGAATGTTTGACAATTACATTGTTCATGTTGGAATAACTTTTAACTTGGCAAACACTGACCAACAAAAGTAAGCAACTTCTCGCCGTCTCTGATTCCCTTCTTTCATTAGGCTCAAAACGAAGTCTCTCCGATAAGACCTTAAGAGAAACTGTCTGGAGTTTAACGTGAACACATTTATTGGCCTGGGAGTCCTGCACTCTCCTTATACTAAACAAAGCTCAAACTTCCCTTCTCTGAGTGCCAGGATCACTGAGAAATTCTGAACCGGACTTTCAGGTGGAGCCAGATGTGAAGTTGCAGATTTCAATTCTGTTTAAAGCCGGGGGCTCTGATTTGCCACTTTAGGAATCTAGACTTTCTGGATAGATTTCTCAGTGGTCTATACCAAAAAAACCAAAAACACAAAAAAACCAACATATGTATGTATATTTTGCCTTCAAGATTATATTTTAGCTAGATAACTGAAACTCTTTTTAAATGTCCACACAACATGTCACCACCTCAGGTTATTGATTAAAGAACCCAAAATTAATAAATGAATTAATTTTTATAAATACAAAAGGAATTAATGATACTACAGACAGCTAGAAAAAGCAATCAGTCTGTCCCTTCTATAAGCTTGTTTTCAAAGAGGAAATCACCCATTAATTCTATCAGACTTTCTAGAACACAAGTATACAACCGGCACTTATATAATTTCAAATCTAGTATGGGATTCTAGTGCAAAGAAAAGGCTGCATGTTTTCTTATCTGAGTTAGAATGCATTTTTTTTATACACTAGACAGACCACATAGCTTTCCATTATCATATGAATAATTTTACGTGTGTGGTAATCAGATTCTTGAAGCAGAAAAGTGGAATAAACAGAAGAATGATTCCAAGAGACGGGAATCATTTGGCTACAGATGCACATTTCAAAGAATAGGTGCTTTGTTTTTCTCTAAAATCTGCCAACACTTCAAGATAAACAGGGGTTAAAACCCAATATCCTGTACGTCATACTTAAAAAGCCACAAAAACACTAGAGGTGACTTCCTCTATTTTTTTTCACACTCCTCAAAAAATGTGCAGACAAGAATTAAAGAGTTATTACCAAAACTCATTTCAAACCAGACCTACACCTACCTTCTTTCCTTTCTTCCTGCTCAGTTTTGCGATGCTGCCTCAACATGAAGAAGTTCCTCCCTTACTATCATTTACTGCTTCCCAGGCACCTCATTTGCTTCTGAAAGAACCTTTCTTCCAAGGAAGTCATTTCTGAAGAATCAAAGCCTTCCCATCCTCATTCCCTACCTCTAATAAAAGAACAAGTCTAAATACTAAGGTTTACTAGGATAATATCTTCCACATCACAAACTGTGGTTTTCTTTCAATAAGATCAGGCATCCACCAGTGGGGACTAACAACTCACTCAGTGCCTTTTGAATTGGCTGATATGCAAAACGACTGCAAAATGATATATCATATTTCTCCTTCGTAAAAAGGAGAAAAGGGAATTCAATTTCCACTCAAGCTGGACAAAGGAAATACAGTAATTATAACAGCCGAAGCACTAAAAAAAGAAGGACTCTTCAAAGATAGATCAATTCAGTGCCTCCACCACGGCTCATTTATTACCTATATTACACAGAATAAGCACACAAAAGTCCTGGATAGTTGGCACAACAGTGAGGCACCAATGTCTCACCAATGGATGTGACAGGATCTCACTCTATTGACCTTTCTTAGTCTAGTCAACCACAACATTTTTTTTTTTTCAAGCAAAAATTATTACATTTTGAACTTAAGAGGATTTGTCACTTCCCAAATTCTTATGCAGCACTCAAGACTTCCTTTGTATCCCATAGTACATGAACAAGGAGATATATATGGCACAGTCTTCGAATCACAGTCACTAGGTGAAGATGGGAGCATGGGGGGGGGGGCAGTAAACACTTAACCATTTATGGGGGCCATGAGTATAGACAAATAAAATAACCAGTGGAGTTCAGAACTGGCTTCCACACTGCAACATGGTAGCTCTAGTTCTAGATCCAGTGCTTGGTGCATAGTACCAGTAACACAGGTGTCGTGGAGTGGATTCTAACTCATGGTGAGCTCTTGTTGTTTCAGAGAACTATACTCCATCAGGTTTGCAGTGGGTGGTTTTGAGAAATACAACACCAGGTGGACTTTCTTCTGACACACCTCAGTGGGAAGGCGAGCTTCCAACCGTTTGGTGTGTAGTAGTTGTTGCTGTTGTTAAGTGCCAAAAAGTCATTTCCGACCCATAGCAACCCTGTATAGGGTTTCCAAGGAGCAGTTGGTGGGTTTGAACCACTGACCTTGTGGTTCAAACTGACCTTGCAGTCCAGCGCTAGAGTGTATTAACCATTTGTATCAGGCAAAGATTTTTGGTACATAGAAGAGACTTGGTAAATAGTTGGAGGAATCAAAACTGAAGAGCCTACTCAAGCAGCTTACAAATACTTGGGCCCTTAGAAGTTGAATGGTATTATCCGTAGTTCTGTTTAAAGATCCCTGCCTTTGAGCGAGACTTGGGTATTCTGACTTGTCTTACCACTATCCAGACTTCAATTTCCTATATCTGTAAAATAAGGATAAGAAAATTCACCTCATATAGTTGTTGTAATCCTGATATAACACTGTAAGATAAACATTAGACTGCTAATCACAAGATCGGCAATTCAAACCCACCAGAGGCTCCTTGGAAACCCTGTACAGGGTCGATATGAGTGAGAACTGACTCAACAGCACTTAACAACAACCATATTGTTGTTTTTAAATGCTGGTGACCCTGTATAGAGTTTCTGAGGAGCAGCTGGTGGGTTTGAACCACCAACCTCATGGAGAGCAGTCTAGTGCTTATCTATAAGGCCAAAAAGGGATTCAAGGAAGCAAAGCATATACAGTCCTGATATGGTGGCCAGGTTTTAGTAGGTGATCAATACATGGTGGTGATGTGCCTTCCAGTTGGTTCTGACTCATAGTGACCCTGTATAGGGTTTCCACATCTTTACAGAAGTAGAAAACCTCATCTTTCTCCCGAGAAGCAGCTGGTGGGCTTGAACTGCTGACCTTGCAGTTAACAGTCCAATGAGATCAATACATAGGAGAATAACTAGTGGTAACTAAAGTGACTCAGATTCCTGGCATTTGGGGTAGGGAAGAATGTGGTAAGGATTAGGGAAGGAGATAACAGAACTGCATTTCAAGAAGGGATTTTACAGTTTGGATCAGCTACATAATTTGCAGAGCCCTGTTTAAAATGAAAGCGCTAGACTCCTTGTTAAGACAACAACAACAAAAACAGAAAAAAAGGTGCTGCTAATGTGTGCTGTCCTGGTGTGGCGCTCTGAGTTAATGTGCTGGACGGCAAAGTGAGACGGTGGTTCCAGCTCACTTCACTAGTCAGTCTATGGAAACCCTATACAGGGTTGCTATGGGTAACTGAAGAAAGATATCATGTTTAGTAAAGTAGAGGGTAGGAGTAAAAGAGAAGGACCCCCACAAGATGGATTGGCACAGTGGCAGCATCAGTGGGCTCAAACGTAGCAACAATTGTGAGGTTGGCCCAGGATCTGGCAGTGTTTTGTTCTGTTGTGCACAGAGTAACTATGAATCAATACCCACTGGATGGCAACAACTCATAACAACATGGGTCAGAACCAACTTGATGGCACTTAACAACAACAATGTGGTGCTGTGGGATAAAGCATTGGACTGCAAGTTCAGTGTGAAACACAAGGTTGGCAGTTCAAACTCACCAGCCACTCCTTGGAAACCCTATACAGGATTGCTATGAGTTGGAAACGACTTTAAGGCAGTTAACAACAATAACAACAGCACTAAATATGAAGCTTTTGCCTTTCTTCTGTAGTCTGTCTGTCAACCTGCCATGGTATTTTGGGGTGTTGATAAGTTTTTTATTTTAGGACAGTTTTAGATTCATGTAAAATTTACAAAGATAATCGAGATTGTTCCTGAACACCCTACACCGAGACTCCCTTATCGTTAACATCTTACATTGCTATGGTATGTTTGTCACAATTAATGGATGACAAGGTATCTTTTTTTGTTTGTTTGTCATTTACTATCTCGTTCCTTCAGGTCTGGGGATACTTGTGGGGCCAAACAGATCCTCAGAGTAACCTGGAAACCTCCATTCATGACTTGGGGTACATGTGTAGTTCACCAGCAGTCAGATTCACGTTAGACTGATATGCTGTGGCCCAGACAGGGTTGGGTCCTGAGGAAACTGTGAGAGACATTTTCCTTTCTAATTTACTCATTGTTTCAAATCACAGCAGACAAGTAACCACTAAATGTACTGCAAACTGTGTGCTGGGATGCGCTAGGTACCTGGATCAGAACTGGGTGAGTGGCTCCATTAGCCATGTTGTGACATTGCAAGTCTGAGGACTGCTACATCCATGCTTGATCCAGATTCTGTGAGGCCTGTGCACCAACCTGGACCCTCCCTACACCT